TTACTCATGCTAACCTTTCATAAAACCTTGTGTTGATTTGTTGTTCTTACTATAAGTATGATGAGCATATGGGTTCTCCTTATTGCCTTGTGGAGCACATGATTATTATCATGGGAGGATAATGGATAAGAGTTATATTTATTTAATAAAAAATAAAATAATATCTTAAATAAAGTGATTATTAATTGATTAATATCCTAATTAAAGAGATTATTAATTGATTAATATTCTGATTAATAATTAATAATCAGGAATTAATAATTACAAATATATAATTAATATTTAATATTTAATATACTAAATATAAAAAAAAAATATCAAAAATTATATATTTAAAAAAGGATTACTAAAAAATTTTAATTAATTTTTTTAATACTTTAAAAATAATTATCTATATTTATAAATTATTTGATATTATTTATTTGATATTATTTTTTTTTTAATTTACAATCATACTGTTTTGGCATATATTTATTGAGATATTGAGAAATATCAAAATATTTTATAGACTTTTTCACAAAGTGACTAACTTATTATTGTATATTATTAGTTAAAGAATTACACTATTTAAAAAATATAAGAAGTTTACTAAGCTAGTTTGGACTAAACAAAATTAAGTCTAAACTAGGTACTCTAAGTTAGATTTAGAAGACAATATTATACTCTTCTAGTAGCTTGGCATAGTGCTTTTAAGTCAATTAGGATCATTATCAACAGTTTGTCATTATCGATTATTCTGAAAAATGATGAATTGCTAAAGTATAGTACTAGAAAAAGGGGAAAATAAAAAAGTTCTTCAAAAGGTTCTTGTTTTATTTCATAGTTTTCTCTTGAAAGGGTTTGTCTGATTGGGTTATTCTCTAAGTTTCATGATATTTGAGAAACTTAATTATTCTTGAAAGTGATTTCAAGAAGAATGTTTAAAAAACTTATCCTTCTACCAATGTAAAGATTTGCTTATTGTTACTGAAGCCAGTATCATATTATAAAAGAGTTTACTTAATCAGGATAAAGATATCTTTTCAAAAACTTTGCCTAATCAGGATAGAAGCTTGGAAACCTTGGCTTTTGTCCAAGAAAGTCTTTTTACTATTTGAGGAACTTAATGAGAGATAGGAGTCAGATATGTTTACCTATCTGGTACACATCTTTCAGTATCATAATTATTTCTTAGAGGTCGAACATATACAGTTGGAAGGAACACTTTTTCTAGAACTTTCTTTCTTATATTACCAATAATGTAATAAGATACATGAGTGTGACCTTGTTTATATTTCAAAAACTAATGTATTTCATGTTAGCCAATCACCTTTGGTGAAAATTTGTATTACCTAAAATTCATGATTAAACTGAGGTTAGTAAAATTTTCCAGAAAACCATGAAAGTGGAAGCTCTAAAAAAGTTAAAACAGTCAAAAAGAAAGAAAATAAGCCTTTTTACTATAGAAAACCTCTATAAACTTCTTACTTCAAAGATTAAATAGGTTTTTAGGTACTTTATAATCAGTTCTTCTTTTTTCAAAAATTTTCTTACCATTGGTATCAAAGGTATTACTTGACTTTTCTTGATTATTAAGAGTCAAGTTTTTGAGTAAAGAGGTTTATAAATAATAAGGGAAGGATAAAAGTGACTTTTGAAGTAATATTCCAAATTTTTTTAAGGAAAGTATTAAGATTTTATTAGTAAAGAAATATAAAAACTTTTTGTGAACATCTTTTTTATATGTAATCAGAAGATTAGTGAAAATAGTTTTTAATCCCTCATTTGATTTATTTATATAATAATATATAATTAATTAAAATATAATAATATAAATTATATATTAAAATAAATAAACTCTTTCCGCTGATCCTCTGACCATACATAAAAAAGATGTCGCAAGTAGTTTTATACTTCTTTGCTAATAAAGTCTTTACACTTTCATTAGAACAACTTGAAGCTTATCTTCATGTATCTCCTTTACTTTCCCTTACTTGTTTATAAACTCCTTTGAATAAAAACTTGAGCCTCTAGTGGCCTAAAAAGACTCAAGTATACATTTTCTCTACTAAGGGCAAGAAGGTTCTAAAAAGTAAAAGGATTGACAAGTGGAGTGTCACCTTATAGAGCTAGAAGCAACAAGAAATAGAGGTTTTGTTGGCAGGGAAAGGCTTATTATTCACCTTCTCACATACTGTTTTGTACCCTCTTAAAGTGTCTATCATTTTTAATGGTTTTCTTGAGGGATTTTGCCTACCTCAGTTTGACCCTGAATTTCTGGTAGCACAATGTCACCTGGCATCTGATTGGTTGACACGAAACACGTTAGTAACTGAATGTAAACAAGCTTCTATTGGTCACTTCACGTGTTCCGATGACATCATTGGTGATAAAAAGAGTTGATTGGTGCCCCGTGTATGCCCCACTTCTCCAATTGGGTTAATCTACAGGTCAAGTATCATAAGACCAATAAGATACGAGCAACAAGTTCCCAGATAGTGAAAAAGCTGCTATTTGTTCAAGCTGAGATCTTTCTCTCCTATCATTCCGGTCAGGAAAAGTTCAAGACCAAGGTCTCCTTTTTATCCCGGTCAGGCAATAAGACTGAACAGTCTCTAGTCCATGCTAAGCTCCAACTCTTTGGTTACAGTTGAGAATGCATTTCCCCAGAAGTTGTTGAAGAATATCGTAATCGACAAGGATCCCTACTATTATTGTTAACCTTCCACTATTACAAGGCAAAAGGATTGTTGGGGAATCTGACCTTTTGGGTAATAGAAGATGTACATCAGTAAAATTCCTTTAACTAGGTGTGACTGTTGGAAGATATCACATTAAAACAATGCGACCCAGTTCCTACTAGGTCATATAAGAACCTGGGGTCCATCATAAGTCATCCTTCCATCATAGGTGGATAAAGAATCACTGCCCAAAGAAAGTTGGGACCAAGTATGTCCTGGAAGTAAAGGCTCCCACTAGGTGATAAGTCTCCTTAGACGAAACACAAGAAGGAAATCAAAATCAAGAATGGATAAGTTTTTCAGATGGTTAGGAAAAGAAAGGATATACCAATCAGGTATTTCTTATTGAGAAGAAGTCTTGAGAAACCGGTTTTTGGAGAAAGCTGGAAATATTTTTTTTCAATTTTACTTTTTCATTTTCTTGTTAATTTGCTTAGACATTTTTAGATATCCCCCCTTCCCTTTTGTCAACCCATCCTTTTGTAGTTTTCTGTATTCTAGCGGCTTGGTTAGATATACGGCAGTAACAACCTGCTGGCAATGATGCAGTGGACTAGAAGGATCTTTACCTAAAGACACTATAGAGCGAAATATTATTCCCAAGGCCAAACTTAGAGACTTTTATGCCTACGACGAGTTAGTTAGATTAGAATAATAGTTTAGCTGTAGTATATATCATGCTGCTCAAATGAAAATGTACTTTTGTCTTCATTTAATTAATAAACTGACGATCTGGCCTGGTTACGGGTACTCAAAAAAAAAATAACTAGCCTAATAGAGAGTATTAAAAAAAAAAATTTATAATTAATAAAAGTTTTAATTTCTATACTATTATAAAATAATAAAAAATATTTACTAATAACTAAGAATCCATAATTTATTATAAGTTATTTATTTATTACAAATAAATATAAAATCATTACTTAAAAAAATTGAAACTAGATATGTTTTTAAAAGTAAAGATTTCTAATTTTTTTTTTTTTTTTTTAACCCACAATCAAGTCAGTATGGTGTGTCTTTATTGTATATATGTTAAGTATTTACAAATTGTTGTGACTTTTATATACTGACTCACTCGTTATCGAAAAAACTATTTCTCTAAATACAACCTAGGGAATGATATTTCGCTCCTTTATTAATAAAATCATTGCCTACAGGTTATTACTGTAGAAAAGTAAAGGTTTCTAATAAATAATAAGTTTTCTTAAAAATATATAAAAAAAAAATTAAAATTAAAAATAAATATATTTTTAGAATAAATTAATATTTCAATAGAATATTTTTTATTAAGAAAAAATCTTGAAAAGTAGATTTTTAAAAAAAATTGTTTTTTTTTTGTAATATATTTACATATTTTAAATCTATTTTTTTTTTATTTTGATCTATTTCTTTTATAGTTTCCTATATTTCAATGATTTAATAAAAAAATTGAAATAAAATATTATTCTCAAGGTCAAACCTAAAAACTATTATTGTTTACAATGAATTAATTAGATTTGATTTAAAAAGTTTAACTATAGTATATATCATGCTATTCAAATAAAAATTTACTATGTTTTCAATTGATTAATAATAGTCTGGCTATGGATATTACAAAAAAACAAGACATGCCAACCTAATAACAGGTTAAAAAAAAAATAATATACAAAAATAAATTAATCATTATATAAAAAGATTATTGTATCTTGAATATTAACCAATATAGTGTATATAAGTTAAAAAAAAAAAATTTTTTAAATTTTAATCAATATTACAAACTTAAAATCATAAAAATATTGAAATTGTTCTTTATATTCGTTAAATATTAATACAGTATATCACCAAAATTGATTACGATCTCAAGAAAAACCGTTTGGTCACTCGTACACATTATTTCAATATGAATAAACCAATAAACTTGACACCACTAAATACGATATTTATGTAAGTGATATAGAATAATGTATCATCGTCTTTAGAAAAAAATAAAAATAATAAATTTTATTGTAAAAAAGGATAAGAATTCTGTGTATGAATAATTCCTCGTAGACCTCGTGATATGTAAAGGTAAAATCAAATTTCAAACGCACGGATGCCTAGAGAAAAAAAGGATAGGCAGTTATACAACGTAAGGCTGAAATCGAATGTTAATATAGTCATTAATCATAGGAAAGATGCCAACAAAACAATAAAGTATCCTAAACATAATATCAGAACTACGCGAATCAGACTCAATCATCCTTCATGTCCCTAAATAAGCAAAAAATATCACAATCAAAAATTAATGTAATGTTATAGAATCTATACGCTAAAAGAAAGCTTACTTGTCATCGTCGCGACCGCGTTCGGCACTTCTAGTTCGACTCCTTTTTGGACTATGAGAATCTTCATGGCCATGACGAGGAGAGGGTGAACGGGAGCTATGATCTTTACCGTTAGCAGGGGGAGTCTTGGATCTTGAACGGGACCTACGAGAGCTACGACGAGGAGAGCGAGAAGGTGAACGACGAGAGCTACGGCGAGGAGATCGAGAACGAGATCTGGAACGACGACGACGGTCGCGGTCACGGTCAGTGTCATTATCCTAAAATACACAGAATCAGTAAATATTTGATCATTAAGGTTGATTGCACAAATAATAAAGCAAATTAAGCACTATTTACCGGTGCCTCGCGAAGAATAATACGTTTTCCCTTCAACTCGGTATCGTCAAGCTTCCTGATAGCATTCTTCATATCTTCATATGAGGAAAACTCAACCACACTAGAATAACAAAATTTAATTAAAACATGTTCAAATGAATAAACAAACAGACAAAAATAAATATAACTAATACATACCCTTCCCCATCGCGGTCTTTATGACAATCGGCAAAAGTGACTTCACCTGCTTTTCGCATTAGGTCCTTCAAATCCTTTTTAAAGAATGGTAGAGGAGTAGGGGGAGGAGGTTTTGATTGAGTTATGGTAAACGGACGATGTGCTTCAAAGATCCTCTAAGGCTCTTGTAATTTCCTTATGCCAAGTACCAATACCAATGGAAGGAACAAGAGCCGGTAGAACCCAAGAAAGGAAGTACATGGTATCCCAAATAATAGGCCCAAAGAAGCCAGATTCGGGAGGTAATCAAAAGATAAATGGGTGGCCCTCTAAATTCAAAAAGTTGGCTACTCCCTTCCTTCCAGGCATAAGAAACATAACATGAAGTCTAATATTGAGCTCAATTTTTCTAACTGTCGTAAGATTCGGAGAGTATAACAAATCATGAAATTAAATGTTGATTTTCCTTTGTTCCCAATTAGTTTCGAAAAGTTTTGGTACCATTGGGTCTTTTTTTGGGAACGCAAAGATAAATATACTCCAAAATAGACTTTCAAAAGAGTAGCCAATTAAACGAAATGGTAGATAGAATCCAAAGGCCACATCAAGCAACCATAAGCAACCATAGGGAAAGGAGAGCTACAACCAAAGCCAATACAACATCAATCTTGTAGAAAACCAGGGGCAATAAAGAGTGGGACCAATGGGCCAGCCAAGTAGCGAGAGCTGCAGGCGGCGAACGTATGAATTATTTTAACAATTATGCATACCTGCCAGCTACAGCTTGATGACAAATTCTCGACAATTAAACGGTATTGAGGATTTCGTTGAGGAGGTGCAAATCGACTATTAAAATTTTTCAGTAAATAATCAGAAAGAATTAATTATATAACCTTCATGATTAAACTAATTCATAAAACATGCCTGCCACGATCACGGTCGCGGTCATCACGGCGGCGATCATCTCTATCCCTGTCTCTGTCCCGGCGATCGTCTCTGTCTCTATCTCTGCGGTCCTCACGACGCCGACGTTCCCCCCTAGCATACTCAACAATAAGCCTAAACAAAAATATTGAATATTAAATATTAGATGAATTACAATTTGGGTTATAATCTGTTACTGAGATAGACATGGTTGACAGTTCGTAAGACAAATAAAAAGCAGCCTGTAAACTAACTTCTTTAAGGCTATTATTTATGAATAAAATTATTGGAAAATTACTTTTCTCCCATAAAGCTTTTTCCGTTAAAAGTATAGACGACATCATCGGCATCACGATGGTCTCTAAATTCAACAAAGCCGAAACCGTTCATCAATTTTATTTCTCTAATGGTTCCGTAATTACGAAAGAGCTTTTCAACATCACGTTCACGAGCGTCTCTTGCTAGACGACCAATATATACTCTTGTCGCCATTATAGATTAATTTTTAATAAGTTGAAAAAATTTTTTATACGAAATCCTTAACTATTTATTAAGCCAAAAAGGTAAATGGTAACTATCGCATGTGTGAGGCTGAATACTATTTGTAAAACAATTCGGTTACACCAAATATATCGAAACTTATAATCACATGATTGATAATAGAGATTTCTTCGGTCATACCTACTAGCGATTTCTTTATTGATAAAAGACCCCATATTGCCTAAGAATTTACTAGTCACTAAATAGTTTAGCATATTACCTATTATGCAACATTTGATAAATTCATAATTATTCATTAATTTTTAATCAAATTAAAAAAAATTTTTTAAGATTATATTTACTGTATATAACTCTTTCTATTAATTCTCTGATCACACAAAAATACTTCCTTGCTAACAAATTAAAACAACTTAAAACTTGTCTCCACTTATTTCTACTATCCTCCCTTACTTATTTATAAACTTTTTTGAATAAAAACTTAAGTTTCTAATGACCTAAATAAATTCAAGTATATATTTTCTTTACTAAAAGCAAGAAGATTCTAGGAAGTAAAAAGAATTGACAAATGGAGTATTACCTTATAGAGATTTTATTGATAGAGGAAGGTTTATTATTCACTTTTTTATATATTATCTTATATTCTCTTATAGTATTTATTGTTTTTTTATAGTTTTCTTAAAAAATTTTGTTTATCTTAATTTGATCCTATATTTCTAATAGTATAATGTCACCTGGTATCTGATTGGTTGATATCAAACACATTAGTAACAGAATGTAAACAAGTTTCTATTGATTATATTTATGTATTTTGATAATATAATTGATGATTGAAAGAGTTGATTAATACTCTAGTTCTATTTACTTTTTTAATTAGGTTAACTTACAAATCAAGTTATATAAGATCAATAAGATATGAACAGCAAGTTCCCAAGTAGTAAATAAGTTATTATTTGTTCAAGCTAAAGTCTTTTTCTCCTATTATTCTAATTAGGCAAAGTTCAAGATCAAGATTTTTTTTTTATTCTAGTTAAGTAATAAGATCAAATAGTTTCTAATTTATATTAAGCTTCAATCTTTTGGGTATAGTTGAGAATGTATTTCTCCAAAAGTTATTGAAGTATATTGTAATTAATAAGAATCTTTATCACTGTTTAAAACCCTCCTATTATTATAAGACAAAAGGATTATTGAGAAATCTGGTCTTTTGAATAATGAAAGATATATATCAATAAAATTTCTTTAACTAAATATGATTACTAGAAGATATCATACTAAAATAACATAGTTCAATTACTACTGGATTATATAAAAACCTAGGGTTTATTATAAGTCACTTCTCTATTATAGATAATTAAAAAATTACAATCTAAAGAAGATTGAAACCAAGCATATCTTAAAAGTAAAGGTTTTTATCAGACAATAAGTCTTTTTAGATAGTATATAAGAAGAAAATAAAAATCAAGAATAAATAAGTCCTTCAGATAGTCAGAAGAAAAAAAAATATTCAAATTGTGTATTTTTTATTAAGAAAAGGTCTTAAAAAATAAATCTTTGAAGAAAGTTGAAAATCCTTTTTTTAATTTTTACTTTTTTATTTTTTTGTTATCTGATTAGATATTTTTTGATATTTATTTTTCTCTTTTTTTAACCTATTATTTTATAGTTTTCTGTATTTCAATAGTTTGATTAAATATATGGTAGTGACAACCTGCTGACAATAATACAATGGACTAGAAGGATTTTTATCCAAAAATATTACAAAGTAAAATATTGTTCTTAAGATTAAACTTAGAATTTTTTATACTTATAACAAGTTAGTTAGATTAAAATAATAGTTTAACTATAATATATATTATGTTGCTCAAATGAAAATGTACTTATATTTTAATTAATTAATAAACTAATGATCTAGCTTGACTACAGATACTCAAAAAAAAAATAATAATAATAAAATTTTTAATTAGATAAGATTTTTTTTTTTTTGTATATCCGTAATCAGACTAGATTATAAGTTTATTAATTAATTAAAAACATAAGTACATTTTCATTTGAGCAGCATAATACATACTATAGCTAAACTATTCTTCTAATCTAACAAACTCGTCTTAAGCATAAAGCCTCTAAGCTTGGCCTTGGGAACAATATTTTGCTATGCAGTGTCTTTGGGTAAAGACCTTTCTAATCCACTGCATCATTGCTAGAAGGTTGTCATTGCTATATGTCAATTCAAGCCATTGGAATATAGAAAACTACAAAAGAATGGGTTGAAAAAAGGAGAGAGAGAATATCTAAAAATGTCTAAGTAGACTAACAAGAAAATGAAAAAGTAAAAATTAAAAAAAATATTTACAGCTTCCTTCAAAGACTTGCTTCTCAAGACCTCTTTTCAATAAGAAATGCCCAATTGAGATATCTTTTCTTTTTTTGATCATCTGAAAAACTTATCCATTCTTGATCTTAATTTCCTTCTCATGTACCATCTAAGAAGACTTATTATCTAGTATGAACCTTTACTTCTAGGACACACTTAGTCCCAACCTTTATTGGGTAATGATTTTTTATTCATTTGTGATAGGAGGGTAATTTATGATAGATCCCAGGTTTTTATATGATCTAATAGGAACTGAATTATGTTATTTCAGTATAATACCTTCCAGCAGTCACATTTAGTTAAAGGAATTTTACTGGTATATATCTTTCATTGCTGAAAATAGTCTTTCCCCAAAGATCTTTTTGCTTCACAATGGTAGGAGGGTATCAAAAGAGCAGTGGAAATCCTCGTCAATTGCAGTATTCTTCAACAACTTCTGAAGAAATGCATTTTCAACTATAACCAAAGAGTTAAAGCTTAGTATGGACTAGAAACTATTTGGTCTTATTATCTGACCGGAATAAAAAGAAGACCTTGGTCTTGAACTTTGCCTGACCAGGATGATAGGAGAGAAAGACCTCAGCTTGAAAAAAT